CACACCCGGTATATGTTCCGGATAATAGTTTACCAGTTTAGCTTCTTCCTACCATTCTGTATACTGTTAGAGAACACGGTTCTATTTAATCCTTAAAAGCTATCCAACAAATTAACAAAAGAAACAACTAATGTAGAAAATATTATACATTTTTATTTATTATACTTTAATATTATTATTATTGCATGATAATCAATTTTTTGTTTATACTTCAAAAAAACATTGAAACAATCAGTATTACCGATCATCACTTTTCAAGCAAATTTAATTGAATTAAAATTCCATCCAAGATTTGTCTTTAACGATCATGGGAATAGTAATAGATGAAAATGAAAAGAATTTTTCTACCAATGAAACAACCACAAACAACGTAGATTGTGAGATGCATTCTTACAAAGAAATGTAAAATAAAACATGATTAAATTCGATTGTAAATTTGGATGCTTGTCTGCATCGTGATTAAGATCTTCGTGAGAGTTGAAACGATCCCAGAGAGCTCTCAATCAAATGAAGCAAGACCTTAATAAAATCGTAAGTCGGTTGACAGGTGATGCGTACAGGACGGTATAATACGAATGAATTCCTCCCCCGTCAGTTAGGAGTTGCTCGTATTGTTGTCGCCTTTACGTAAGTATACGAAAAGAAGGACGACATGAAGGCAGATGCCGTTCAAACTTTTCCCTGCGTTAAAGAACGAAAGAACCAAGAAGAAAGAACCAAAATGGAATGAAAAAAAAATGTCTTGATGATATTGTGTGAATATTTTTACTAATACTATCTAAACTGTTACTATAACATAACAATTCTTGACAATAACTTTTTTACAAAGTTTATCTTCACAAATGAAAATGAAAATGAAAATGAAAACAAACGAATTTTCTTGCGACGAAGTTACCTACATTTAACGCATTAACACCGTTGTATACCTCCCACGAGATAGGACAAAGAACATAATTTCACACGAGAAAGAAGTTCATTTAACCGACCAGAACCATGAATTATCCATCTTCTCTTACGCTAATTACAAAGGTAGATCCAATTACGGCTCACGGTGAATCACCGAGAAGAGCTTGAAGAATGCAAAGAAGAATGGCGAATGAAAAGCTAGCAAAAAGTAAACTATCTTCGAAGAGAGAAATAACGAAATATAGGAAGGAAGGAAGGAAGGAAGGAAGGAAGGAAGGAAGGAATGAAATGGAATGAAATGAAATGGGAATGGTGGAAGGAAGAAGAGTAAAGAAGTTAGAGAGAACGAAGGATGCAACCGCGAAATCGAGTCGAGCCGTGAAAATAACGATTTCTTCTTTGTGATGGCGTTCGTCAAACCACGAACGAAGAGAAGAGTAGCGGTTGGGGGGCCTAAAGAAAAAAGAAGAAGAGAAGCCGGTTTTCATCAATAAAGGTGAGGTCCTCCGTGACTCGTCGATATGTTTCCTAAGCTGTGAGTCTGGAATCGATATTTTATGTAGATCACGTGTAAAAGGGAAACACGCCCTCCCTCATTCATAGCCAGCTATTCTTGTCTCAGCGAACAAAAGACATCGTTCGGAATCCCACGCGAGTGTGTTTCGGTGCGAACCACAAAAAAACTATTCCAAGATGACTCTTTGAAGAGATGGAAATCGTGAATGATGATGATGATAACCAAATATATTATATATAAATCCATATGTGTGCACAATCTCGGAATTTCTGTTGAAGAAATGGACACTTTTTACATTATAGCTTATTTCTTAATCAATTTCTTAATCTACTTGTTTTTCTGACACCTAAGGGTAAGGTAATTATGTAAAATATGTTTAAATTAGTCGTAAAACTTAATAAGAAATAAACAGAAAAGTTGAGCGTGAAAAAAGTAACATTTATATATGTAATGCACGATTCAGGTGCAGCATTGTTCGATCTTATCACCTGACGTATATACAAGCAGGGTGCATCTTCGAATGACGAGTTCCTCGTGGTAAAGGTCAAATCGTCGACTACTCTTCCATCGAGTTTTCTGAAAAGAGATAAAAAGAGGGGGAAAAAGTATGAGGTAAGGTCAAAGACACCCTGAGCAAGCTTCGAATAATGTAGAAAAATAGCACAACGATAGAATGAGCCCAGCTGCAGAACCCTCCTACGAAACGGGCCTTCTGTATTGTATAACATTCCTATGCATACGTAGATACTAAGAACGAATTTTCAGGATTCAACATGCGTGAGAATGTGCGTGGGTGATGGATAGACGGTCACCCTGTAGCTTGTACAAACGTTAAACGGAGTTCAATAGTTTGAAATTGCATAGGCATTGCCATTGGACGCGCACATCGTAAAATATCTAACGTCGGTTATGTGAAAAATTGTCTCCATAAAATCTCTCTTGTGAATCCTAACCGTGAGACGGAATTCGCTTGTTAACGGATAACCAAAAAACGTTTAGAAACTTTTTCAAAACTTCCAATATGTTTTCTACGACGAAACAACGGTCGTTTTTTCCATGTGTTAGTGCATAACACATGAAAGAAAACCTTGCCTTATCTTATGGTAGTACTATAACGTACGTTTAGATGTTATTCTCGCACCTGGTTGTGAACAGCGTCAACTACTTTCTATGTTAGATCTTTCAAGAATTACGGAACAACGCGAGCCCTTCTTAAAAAAGGGTAGAAAACAAAAACGAAGAGAAATCACCCCAAAATTCCATCCCGATCCCTTCACTCTGTCTTTTACCTTCCCTCTCCATTTTTTTGCCGCAAAACATGGAATTCGGTAGCTTCTCACGACAAGAAAAGCTTCATTTTAGATAGAGGACTTTTTTTTTGAAGGAAGGTGACGTAAATTTGCTAAAAAAAAAAAACCTATGTATCCATATGTATAATGCAAGAAAGAACGGATGAAATGACGGTTGGCTTATCTAATTGTAAGATACTAAAGTTCTAATATAATATTTGTATGTATTTCCTACTGAACACCTGGCAACGTTCCTCGTGCATTCATTTTCTATCGATTTATCGTATCTTTTTTTTTTTTCTTACCTCATTCGCGTTAAGGACCAAATGTTTTTTCTCCCGAAATATCTATTCATATTTTGACGCGATTCTCACGCAAAAAAAGCAAAATTTTTATCAAAAAAATAAAAGAAGAAGAAGAAGAAGAATGGGCGTAGAAAATGCAAATCTAAGAGGGGAAGAAAGAAAAGAAAAAGAGAAATATAAAAGAGTATGTATAAAAGGTATACTCACATATGTATGTAAGTACCTGCTTTAGAAAAATAAGAAAGACGAGTAAAACGAAATTTTATAGGGAATGGGCCAATCCTCGAAGAACGCGTCTAAACGCATCCTGTCGATGCTGTCCTACCTGACCTTTCGGTGGTTTTTTTATGATTTTAGGGGAATCAGGTAGGAACCGATTCCCCTAAAACCCAAAAGGGGAGAGAAAGAGAAAAAGAAAAAACGAAAAAAGGAAAAAGAACGAGAAGAGGAGCAGAAATCGGAACTGTTCACCTAAAAAGTGGCGTATCGATCCTCAGGGTTCACGGGATTTTTAATTTTTTCCTCCCCAACGATCATTCCTTCCAAAACTCGCAATCCCCCCCCTCCTTCCCACCATAACGCCTCGCCAAACTTTTTACGAAGTTACGCTTTACTTTCTCACTCTTATTTCGCTCCTTTTTTTTTTCATTTTCTGTCGGCATTCAAAAACTTGGATGGGAACATCCGAGTGCCGTTCAAATGGCTAAACAACTTTTCTTTTTAGTAATTCGCTGATTTGTTTTCTTTTTGTTTGATATCCACTGTGATAATAATCTAATCTAATTTCTTAAATGTCGAGGTACTACATTTCCATGACATAAGAGAAGAAAATATTATCGTATTAAAATCTGTAGGTAGGAAAAATGTATTTTATAACTTATAGCCGTATTTATAAGCATATACAGTATTACCCAATGGTAGCAAAGGATCTGAGCGTGTCGAACTAATTATTATTAAAACCGTTACGGCGCGAAACGCGTGCCAAGCGGTTGTTGACGGAAAAAGCTCGTTTTGGAAGAATCGACCGATCGGTTCCGTTCTACATTGTTCGTATTATACATTGACGTTCCTGCGTTGTGCGCGTATATGATTTCCTAGAGGCCAACGCAATGGGGGCTGCGAGGGAGGTAGTCATAAAATACCTACGATGATGGATGAACGAAGGGTTGGTTACTCCATGAGTAAAAGGGAGAGTAAAATAAAAAAAGGAGTAGGCTCGAAAGGGTAAACTGATCCTTATTGGGCGATATCGTTCGTGTACGAGCAGAGTCCCGACCAATCGAAACTTCCCCGTCAAAGCATCCAAGTGCACGTGGTGTTAGCGATCTTGGTGGGGATGTTATCCCCCCATTTGCTCTAGGCGTCGTCGTGCTGCTTTCGTTGCGTCATTCTAACATTCGTCCTGCATCGGTACGTCGATGAAGATCCAAACAACTCGTGTATATTCCTGTGTTATATAATAATAATTAATAATCTATCGAAGAAAAAAACAAACTTTGTATTCTTTTAAACACGCAAATAAGTTAAATAGATACGGCATGAAATCGCATTTCTGGAAAAAGATCCGAACGATCATTCGTCGCGATCGTTGTCGATCCAAAACGACGATTACTCGATGTTCTCCATGAACGTTTTCAAGATTAATTCGTGCTGGATCTCGAAAATCGTCTCGATGTGATCACGAGGAGGATCACAAATAAAACCTCTGGGAGAAAGGAGGTTAACATGGTCTTCCTCGAAGACCCGAAAATGATTTTTACGGATATGCGTCTTCATGCCACCAGCACGCCAACATCCACTCCAACGCGATACGGTGATCGTCATCCAAAGTTTAAACCACAGAACAACAATGATTGTACGATTATCACGAAAATTGTTCTCTCTCCTATAAAAACAGTTTGTAGAATAATAAAATTTATCAACGGAATATTTCAGATTCAGTGATTCAAATCTAATCTCTTGATTTTTTTATTCTTATTACAGATGCGGATCTACATGCTGAAGTCGAGGGAGTCGAACTCAGTGGAGACGATCGAAGTATCACAAGTGATATTCAAGATGTTACTGATGCGAATCTCGATCAAGATTCAATAGATTCGGATAGGGAAGCTCTTAATTTGGTATGTCAAATTATTCACATTATACTTCTAAATATTATAACTATCGTAAAATATCGACAATATGAACAATAATAAATTGAAAAGTTTTCCAAGTTAAACATTTGAAAAAGAAAAGAAAACAAAATTTTTACTTACGTTTCTTTAATGTGCAAAAAAAAATGGTTTTATTCAATATTTGAAATATAAATATGAGAAGGGAACCATAGAATCTAAGGACATAAAAGAAAACAAAGCTGTATGTTATAAAACTCAAAAAAGAAAGATAGGACTAGCTAGCCTAAGTAACCAATATCCCCTAAACTGACCGAACGCAAACACGGCTTTGTTCAACGTTGTTTATTCAGTGTTATTAGTAAGGGTACCTTTTTGAATTCACATTAGGTTGTAAGATCTCATTGTATACTTTTACTAACATAAAAGAATTCGTTGAAATCAATGTTAAGAAGTAAATTTCTGTGCTTTAGGTTACTGATGTATCACAACGTAATAGCAGCAGTGGTACCAGCGGTAGCTCATCTTCGCCAAGTTCTGGAGTGAGTAGTCAATTGACTACTGGTACGCATCAACAGCAGCAACAGCAACAACAGCAGCAACAACAGCAACAATTGCAACACACCAGCACGCAAAATAATGGAAACTCGCAAGCTGCGTTGGCGGCTCAATTTGTCAGCCAACAATTGTTAATGCATGGATCTCTTGGTACTCTCAGACCTCAAGAGATTCAAGCCATTGCATCGTCCCTACAACAGCAACAACAATCGTTACAGCAGCAATTGCAGCAGTTTGCTATATTTCAACAAGCCAATCCGACAACGGCTGGGCAACAAGCGCAATTCTTCTTACAAAATCAGGTAAGTACATTTTTTCGATCTTATTTAGAAAATCAAAATATTCCACTTCTTCTTTTTTTTTCTCAATCCTCTCTACATATTACAAAATTATCTATACTACTCTCAATGCGAATCCTGAAATCGAGGCAAATCCGCGACGATTCAAAGAACAAGCTTGCTATCTGATCGAGAGATGATCTGAAGGGAAGTGAATGTCTTATTCTTCGAAGACGGTTCGTTTGATTCGACGTCCTGATAAACGTCTGCTACTGGCACAAAGGGACAAAATTTCTTCATTCCTTCGTTCCAACTTCATTCCAACTTCATTCGAATACAATTTCGGCACATTTAATAAAGAGATTACGATTAATATTACTCTATGTCGTGTAACTACATAAACTTATTTTATATAATGTAAAATTCTAGAAATAATCCGAGAAAAATTATTTAAAAAAGAACAAAGATAAGTATGCATACAATGAATGTCTATTAAAATTGTAAATCCTTACGTTTACTAGATTTTTATTTATTTTATTTTTATTTATATAGTGTCTTTAAGATGAATATCCAATTTTATGGGACACTCACTGTATCTGCATACATCTATTGGCAAAATTGTAAAGATTTCCTATAAATATTCTTACAGATCATTTCTACCATCACTAGTGTTATCTTTTTGTCAAGAAAAAAATCTCTCTCGCATCGAATCGAGAAATATCGACTCATTATATCCGAAGATACGTTGAAAAACGACCCTCCCTTCCTGGATATTCGTAGTAGGGGCACTTCTCCTCTCTCCTTCTGCCCTTCCTTCGAAAAATTCTGAATAGGCCACCTTCAACATTTAGGAAAAAAATTTCTATAGGCTCCATCACGAATAGCGCGTGCAAAGACGCGATGCACAGTCCTTATAAAAAAAAGCTAACAAAACGACTTTGAATCTTAGCAGATTTAATGGCCGTCTGGATCCACAACTTGTACCCATACATCAGAAAGACTCACACTCAAAATAGGAAGCTTAGATCCCTTCGTATCTACTTTAGAAGACACTATATACATCTAGGATATTCCGAGTCCTACAGTACCTTACCCGAGGAGGAGAAGGGTCCTTTGTTACCTCACACGTGGCTTCCTTGTATTTTCTTCCTTTTGCGTTTCTCATCGGAAGATCTGCTTTTTTGTTCTCGAAACTTTCTAAAGATACACGAACTCCCCTTACCGTCTCGGGCCCTCCGTCGCCCTCCTCTCCTAAACAGGGATGTAACCTGTCTTTCAACCCTCTCGCTTACGATACATCAACGATACGTGATCTTCTCAAGCGGATATTTCTATTCTCTAATACACCTTCTGTAGCTTCTTCGAACGAACATTTAATTTCTTCATTCATCGAACACGTTCTAAACCACCAAACATTTTTCCATACTACATTTTTGCTTGGGTTCCGACACGCGACGATATGCAAATTTACTCCTTTCTGGTTATAGCACCGAAACAAAACTGGATCATATATTCAAATTTAGTTAATCTATCTATCTTTCTTGCAATTGTTACATTTTTCATTATTTAATTATTTAGATTGTGCATATAAATATTATGGAAATATGGATATATATGATTTCATTGTATAATTCGTATATAGTTACATTTCATATTATTAAAGATATACAAGTGAATAAGAAATTCATAAAGAATGAACTATTAAATACCTGTTGCCAATCTCTGCACGTGGCTAAATTTAAAGGAACCTTTGAGGGTATCTTGACGATCAACAATAAGTATAAGTAAGGTGCTTTTGGTCTCGTTGAACGACACGCGACCAACCCCAAACCCTTTTCCTTCATAGATGCCACATGCCATAGATTCCACATCCTCTTATTCTCATAATCGAGCATCTGGTTAAGAAAGGGTGAAAATAAACGATCGATTCTAGCACCCTACGAAATCTTTGCATACCTATATTGAAAAGAACACGTGCCACTTTTATTCCTTTAACTGTGCGTTAACCTGAACAGTCCTTTATCATCTCTCGTAAAGTTATTTACTCGTAAAAAAGTGAAATAAAGTTTACATTATATAAATTGTCTTTCAAAATGAATTAACTAACGGGATCCATTTATCTATTATCAGGTACAGCAAGCTGTAGCACAAGCAGCCCAACAATTACAGGCCATACAAAAACAGCAAGCTCTTCAAGGTGGAGGTGGATTGGTAGGAAGAAATTTAACGCAACAAAGATCGCCACCACCCTCTGGTACACCTCCGTCTGTAAAACCACCACCAGCAAGACTTGAACATTCTCCAGAAGAAACAACGGACCTTGAGGAACTCGAACAATTTGCTAAGACTTTTAAACAACGACGAATCAAGCTTGGTTTTACGCAAGGTGATGTTGGTCTTGCCATGGGAAAACTTTACGGCAATGACTTTTCTCAAACCACCATTTCAAGGTATAATCATATTCATTATCATCAAATCTATCTCATGAAATGAAAATATATTTTATACGATAATGATAATTATATTTTTGTTAAAACTGTTTTATAGGTTCGAAGCATTAAACCTTTCCTTCAAGAACATGTGCAAATTGAAGCCTCTTCTTCAAAAGTGGTTAGAAGATGCCGATAATTCTTTGAACAACCCAAATTCGCTCTCGAATCCACTAACAACACCAGAAGCAATAGGTAGGCGGCGAAAGAAGAGAACTTCAATAGAAACTACCGTTAGAGTGGCACTAGAGAAATCTTTCGTTCAGAATCCAAAACCTACTTCCGAAGAAATCACCGCACTGGCGGATAATTTAGCAATGGAAAAGGAAGTTGTTCGAGTATGGTTTTGCAACAGGTATATATCTATATACAACAATATCTACAACAATATCAACAACAAATCATTACAACAAAGTAATAATCAAATAAATATTTGTTATACAGGCGACAAAAAGAAAAAAGGATCAATCCTCCAACAGCAGCAATGGGAAGTCCGACAATGGCGTCGCCTGCGCCATCAGTTTTTGCTTCTCTTACGAATTCGATGTCTGCTAGTCCTTTAGCTCTCACTGCACATTCCTCGGGAATGGGTCATATCCAATCACATTCCACGTCATTGGGATCACCTCTTCCTTTGGCCTTAGTGGCAACACCCAGTGCAAATTACCATCCATTGAGTGGGAAATCTCACGAGTGACAACAACAGACCACCCATCAAGGGGACAATCTTTACCATCATCGAGATCAACAGCAGAAACAGCATCAGCAACAACACCAGCAACAACAACAGCAACAGCAACAGCAACAACAACAGCAACAACAACAACAACAACAACGACGTTTGTGCAATTTACCCGATTTTTATCATTAAAATTGATAAATCATAGAAATAATATATTCTATTTACATATTAATATGTACTAAAACAATAACAATATTACCTTCGGCAAAATTGAATTTAGATGATATGGAGATGGTACTAATAAGTAATTCAACGTTTCTGACCAATCTTGGTACATATGAAATACGATAATAAAAGTATCGTACTATCGAAACTATCATTTTGATAGAACGATGAAACATCATATGATGTCTATCTTATAAATATGTGATTAGAAAAAAAAAGTTGAAAACGATCGAATAAGATATATCGATGGGTACATTTTTTAAAAACCCAACGAACGAAGATGTAGATAAACATAAACAACTGACAAAAAGTATACGAAGAGATACGTGTTGCTACGTCAGGACAACCGCTGAGAAAGCAGAAGACTGGGAAACAGCAACAACATTTGCAAATCATGTAAAGAAAAAAGCTTTTCCCCTTTTTCCTATCGAACAACAGATTATAATCAAAACGTTTTCAATATTTCCGTTTAAAAATATCAATTGAATTTCTACATGAAAAAAAAATATCTGACGATTAAGAGAATGCACTAACTTTTTTAACACGTTGACTGTCATGTAAATCATCAATAACTTATGACTTAGTGAACTAATTTGAAATTTTTTAATACTACCAAGATAATCTACTTTCTTCTAGCTTTCTTTCTAGCGACTTTTAGCTTTCATGCCACCGTGGTCTTCCCGGTGGTCTCGTTGTTCCTATTTTTCTTATTTTCTTCTTTCTTATCCACGTCTTCTTCATCCTAAAATCAGAAATGAAAATATTTGTTTGAGTTACTTGTTTGTATAATACCATTTCATTTAAAACACACGTAATCAGTTAAAGCTCTATTGCCAATTTCTTGTAACATAAAATGTTACAACTATAAACTTTCATAAATTCTAATTATTCAATTCATTTTTGGACACTTTGAAACAACTAATAATAAAAAAAAATGACCTGCACCATAAATAATGCATTAAACACACTTATAAAATGGTCAACGTGTTAAAATAGATATTCTGTATTCTAATAATGAACAATGTAAATAGATAGTTAAACATTATCATTACGTAGTACCGTCTATATCATTAATATCATTGATTCAAATTTCAGAATATCAGATTTTGTATAAAACTTTGAACTTTTGTAAGTTGAAAAGTTTTCTGTTTAAACGTTGTTTCATATTCTTTTACATATTTCAACGAAATATACACCGTCAGCATTCGCTGTTGAAAAGTTTTATGAAAAGATAAAAATGTCTCCGACAGCAGTTACCGTTTAAAAGAGATAAACTAATACTTGTTCCATTTCTAATATATGTTCATTGTCTGTAAATTGAAAATGAACATTTCTTGCCATTTAAAACACACATCGACAAATATCGTCAAAACTCAAATATTTCACTAAAATATTAAATATTACGGCTACTTAACGATACGATACGATACGATACGATAAAATAAAATAAAAAAATCAATTAATGTGAAGAAAAATTAATCGGTGTATGTAATATATCAGATTTTTATATCATTATCTTCTTTCAAAGTTCCGCTCAATTTATCAATACGGAAGAAAACAATCGATAAGATGTATCTTTATAAACGTCGAATGGTGTTTCCTTTTCATTTCAAATTTTGGTTTTATCGATTAAAATTATACTATACTTAAATCGTCGTACTTGAATTTGAAATGAATACAAGTATAAGTAATAATCGGTAATTGTTTAGCGAAATAATTATAATAATACTTTTCTTAATTGTAATAAGGAGTTTTTGATCTAGGATCAATCTCTTGTATTACTTTATGGAAAAGAAAAGGTACCTATTATAAATTATATACGCGCGCGCGCGCGCGCGCGAGCGATTATAATTAGACGCGTCATTAAGTTAAACTTAAGAAGGAGAACCTTGTGATCATCGACATTCGTTCGAACTATTTATTTTAAAGGATTCATTTTACTTACTTTAGGATATCGCGCTTCCGTGATGAAATAAAAACATTTAGCGGTTCGACAATACCTGTTTGTAAATATAAATTACATAATGTGTCTATCGACAAATTCGTACATATCCGTGACCCATGTTTGTAGATATGTCATCGTCAAAGCATGTAATTCAGTTATTTCACGAAATATCGGAACATTAGGGAAAGTATATAATATGAATTTTATTATATACTTTAACTATATATATATATATATATATATAGATATTCTATGAAATAACCGAACACGTTTAGTTAAGGTATTAACACGTTGCCGCAAATGTTGTTCTTTGTGTTTCTGAACACAATCGTCAAATTAAAAATGTACGGCAATGTGTTAAATAGAAATTAGATGTTAAGTACAAGAAAAATATTCTTTTATTTAAAACTTATTACACTCATAACTATATTTTGAAGCAATGTTAAGTGTAATTATTTTTAACAATCCTAGAGTTTGTTTCATTTTTTAGTACGTTATTTTAATTTTAATGAAAATTTTGCTTCAAATATTCAAATTCATCTCTTCAAGATGATACACAGTATGGAAAAAAAAAAAAAATAGGAAAATTTATTTAATCTAATAGAATAGTTTTATTGTTGTAAAATAAAATTGGAATATTTGTAAAAGTGAAATAAAGGTTCACTTTAAGTTTTTATAAGCTTTCGTTTATAACTTTCTAGTCCGTTAGAAATATATATAAATATATATATATAATAATATATACTGCATCTCGTTGTAAGACTTAAAGGAAACAAAAAAATTCATATTTCTCTTTTTCTTTTAGGCCTGCCAAGAAAAGGTTGTCAATCTCGATAAAGTTTCTCTATTAAGTTGGATTATAAAATCCAAAAACTTTGAAAAATCAATTTTTTGTTTTTTATCTATTTATATTACAACTTGCTAGTTTAAAGTACGATAGAACATACGACGAACAGAAAATCTATTTTCAAAGACGAAAACAAAAATAAAAATATAAAAAACGCGAACAATTAATACTTGTTCTGGTTTTCATAGTTTTAGAAGAAAATCTAATTGAATATCTTAAATCAATAGATAAACTCTATCCACAAACTAGATAATCTTCGCTTGGATGGCCTAAAAAACCAACGAACACGAATTTTTTTTTCTCTCCTGATTTACAACAGTGCAGTTAAGTACAGTACAGTGCATATTTACAACGACCATCTTTTCTATCAACAAAAATACAATAAACGAAAGCTTATAAAAATTTAAAGTTAACATTTATTTTTACTTTGAAAAATATGAAAATTCGATTTTACAACAATGAAACTATTTTATTAGATTAAATGAATTTTGATATATATTTTTTTTTCTATACTGTATACCGTTTTGAATAGATGAATTTTAATTTTTGAAGCAAAATTTTCATTACATTTTAAAAATACTGTACAAACAAAATAAAAATTACATATATGTTATTTTTAAATGATTATACAATAAAGTGTTTTAAAATAAAATACGAATGGTCGTCACCATAAATATAAATATACGATACTTATTTAAGTACCATAAGTATCCTAATACTTAACATCGAATTTCAATTTCATGCTTTAACTAATCTCATATGGTTATTTACATAGAATAATTAGGTAAAGTGTATAATTCTGCCTTATTTCATACTTTAACTGAACTCTTTGGATATATTATAAAAATAAAAATAAAAACTGAGTTATTTTGTGAAATAACGGATTCCACACTTTAACGATATGGGAGGTAAGGGCCGGCCGCGCTCATACTGGCAAGAATGCGAGCAAACTTGTTCCAATAAAGGTCAAATTAAAGGTGAAATTGGTGATAGGACGATCACCGATAACTATCGATCTCCATATAACGAAAAAGTCATAATTCATACCAAAGGAATACTGTGAAGTACAATAAATAATTAAACATAGCATAATATGTACGATAAAAGAAATCGTTTTTAATAATATTCTCGATTCTAAACGCGAAGGAGATCAGGATAAGAGTAATTCGCATTCTTGTCAAGGAATTTTGTTTTCGAGGGACACTTGTAGCGATAATTTTGTAGATATACAATCCCGAAATAATACGTAATGTATATAATATGTAAAAATTATAAATAACTATACACACGCTCACAGATATAGACAAACAGGAATTAACTGGCAGATACTATGCACGTACCACGCACGCACCAAAAAAAATATATATATTATACATTAACGTATAATCGAAATTTTGCGAACAAATGATACAAATGGATACGTTTCAAATAAGATTTCATGCAATGTTTATTGTATTAGAATGAATAATGATCGCAATGAGACGACAAATAAAAGCTAATATTGAAATTTACAAATTTTCCTGTCAAACGATTGATAAAATGTGAAAAAAAGTATCGATAATTATTAATTTTAAGAACAATGTGCGTGTACGAACATTGTAAGGAAAACGTGTTGATTAATGCTAAAAGTGTGCGTGAACCCAATATTCCTATACGATATTCGAGTCAGGTTGCAATTATTCGGGTCGGATTCAATATCCAGGTTCTCGGAAGTCAAAATGTGTGATCTCGACAATTTTTGTTTTTTTTTTGGTACTCAATACTCGAATCGGGTCGAACTAATTTTATCAATTAACTCGGAATTATTTTCAAATTTGCGGTTACTAATTAATAAAACATACAAGCGACATAAGTAAAACATACGAAATTTGGAAATGTTTGATAAATGTATATTTTGTAAAACCTGATCAGAGACTCAAACTGAACAATTCTGTCCCGATTAATTCGATATTTTCTCGATATTTTTCCGGTTCTAGCACATCTCTAATTAAAGAAAACTTATACATAATAACTACGTCGTTACGGTGATATAAATGCCGACGTATGTATGTATGTGTGTATGTATGCATTCATGCATGCTATATACTTACATATGT